GCCAACAAAGGGAAGCAGAGAGCAGTTCCGTGCTAGAAATGGGCGCAGACAGGGGTGCGGGGGAGGGGGCGGAGGTGAGGGAATGAGGCTTGGGAACCGCTTTCCGGTCCCAGTGGGTGCTAGGTGAGCAAATGGTTTGGGACGAAACGCTTTCCTAAGGAAGGCAGCCCAGCCACAAGTGAGCGGCGTCAGGGCGTTCACGCAGCACTGGAGGCAGCCCAGCCGCCAGGGCCCCTGCCCAGGTACCCAAGGTCGCCTCCAGCCTAGGTCCGGTGGCGGCTCTGGACCCACCTACCAGAACCGGGCCTGGATAGGGGCCCCCTGTGACCCGCGCACTGCGCTTAGCTTCCCCCACCCACCCAAAGCCCTGCCTGACACAGGGTCCATCATGTTCCTCCCTTGATGACCCCCTCCTGCATCTCTTCGGAGCATACTGAATTAATGCTGCCTATCTTAGAATGCTTGGGATTGTCTAACTCAGCCAAAATGATTAAGAAAGCAGGACCATCATGCTATTAACGTTCAAAGGAAAATTTCAGTACCGATTTCCTCATATAATTCATGGCTATTCGGGGTTCAGATGAGCCTAATGGTTCATCAGAGCCTTTCCCACAGCTGCTTTCTCATACTCAGACTTCTGGAAGGTCCACGCCCTGCACCCGCTGTCTCTGCAGTCCCTTGTGCAGAGGGTGGCGAGGACTTGCTGGCCTACCTGTGAAATATTGTGCCACATGGTCTGAGCATCTGACAAACCTCTCCTTATTACCCTGCAGGTGCAGGGAGCCCACCTGTCCAGCAGTCCTGAGGGGCCACACCCCAAGTGCATGATGCAGTTTATACTGTGGCGATGTTTGTCTCACATCTTATAGTTAGTGTCAACTCCATTGCTCCTCGTTCTGTGCATCTTGCCATGAATTTTCACATGGCTAATCTGTTTGGTTCATGAATAAGCTCTTGAATCAGACAGAGCAAGTGATTACTTGCAGAAACTTTGGCTCACGTGGCTTAGTGGCTTTGCTAAAGTCAGCTAGGATAGAGAGGAAGGTCAGGCCTGCACCCCACATCTGAAGAGCAAATCACAGGCATCACAGCATGATACCTTCAAGTGCATGAGCTCGGAATCCCAGCTTGTTCACTCCGAGTCACATTGAGGCTGTTCCGTACACAAATTGTTTTGATTTTTTTGAATATCAGAGTGATGCTTTGCTGAGACAAAAGAACTCTTGAATTTCTCAGAATCACAAGTCAAAGCAAAGGTTTTCTACAGACTGTAATCAGTGCCACCAGCAATATGGTGAGTGATAACAACTGGAAAAAAATCATCTCATTATCAGGTAAAAAGAGTCTGCCTTTAGGTCCTGAAACTCTAGCATGGCTATGTATCTTCCCTCTCTGAAAGATGGAACAGATCTGAGAATCTCGATTCACAGTGTGAGATAAGTAACACTGAAAGTATCCCAATGAAAAGCAGCACAAAGAATGATAGCAGCATAATTCATAAGGGCTGAATCTTGGAAGTGACCCAACAACAGGTGAACTGATACCTCAAATGTGGCACTTACACATCGTGCAGTACCACCCTGCATAAAGATCAGCTCATTTGTAAGACACTGGGTCCACTTTGAGACCATAATGTTAAGTGGCACAAATCAAACACACAGGTTTAAATACTATATTGTCTCTCTACGTGACAAACCCAGAATAAAAATAGAGAGCAAAATAAAAGATAAATAGCAGGAAGACGGATCATTCTTAAAGGGAAAGGGAATAAGAGATGGAGGAAGGAGAGAGGGAAGAGAGGAGGAGGAAGCATGAGGGAGAGAGGAAGATGGGATGTAATGTGTGCAGGCCCCACCTCCACCCAAGGAATGCGAACGTTTTGTACTGCAGACATTCGGGACATGGGGTAGGGGATGGGGAAGGGAGGAAACAGAACCAAGATGTGTTCTGTACAGGAACTGACTTCCCACGTGGAATGTAGATATCTTATACCACACACATGTACTAATATAAAAAATAATTACAAAAAGAATGGCTGGGTCTAGACACTTCTGAGTATAATTTATGCATTTTTATATTATGTCATATTGATTAGAGAGTGACATACAGAGAAAGAGAGGCAGAGACAGAGATAGAGATAGAGACCAAATGAAATGAAGACCAGTAGAGCAAGTATCCAAGGGACAGAATCACCATCCCAGCCCTTATCGGATATATGCAGGTAGGAGATTTTCAACACCTGGTGCCTATTCTTTCTTGCTTCCAAATAACATCTCACAGATGCTAGAAACTGTCAATGACAAGTATGTAGCCCAATTTGGACTAAGAATGGGTTCTACTGTTGCTCTATCAAATGAATCAAACAGAATTATCCCAGAGGAGACATAGAAGTGAGCTAAGTAATGATTCCCATGTGGATTCTCTTATTCTTCAACTTGGATCGCATTGCATGGCGGGGGGCAGGTGTGCCTCTTCAGGAGGGGAAAGTGGCTGCACGTCCTCCCAGCACAACACAGCCCAACACGGGTAGAGGCGGAATTGCAGCATGGGCAGGGAGCAGAGCTGCCTCACGGCTGAGTCCAGGAGGACCCATCGCTACCTTCTGAGGCTCAGATATGAGCCAAAATGCTGCTCATTTATGAAAACTTAGGCAAAGAGAAAGGACCAGGCAGGGGAAAGAAGTGTTATTCCTTTGAAAATATGTTGAAAACACCAAGAATTGCTACTTCTCTCTTTTTTGTTTTTTAAGTGACATGAAAACTCTACAGGTTTATGTGGTACAGTGTGTGTGATAATCTGACCTCTGTGTACAAAGTGCACATCCATCTCCTTTAAGAGCCATCATTTCTTTGTGTGAGGAGCCTTAGAGCCCCTCCCTTTTAGTTTTTTATAAGATGTATAATAAGTTGTGGTAACCTCTGGGCACCCCACAGCACTGTTAGCGCTGGAACCCATTCCTCCTATAAAAATGGGATTTTGTTCCCCTATCTCCTTTCTTGACCCACTACTTTCTCCCACTGTCAACTATCAGACTGTTCTGGAATGAATGATCAACGGAATGTGTCAGTCATTGTCACCTCTGTCATTGCCTCGGTTATTGTCCTCCTGTAACTGGAAGATTGCCTGAGGCCTCAAAAGGTAGGAATGATGCTAATCATGTCCAGAGGAGCATCACCAAGCTCCACAGTGGTGGAGAACCATCAGTGGCAATTAGAACTGGCCAGGGAGAAGCAGCAAGGAAACCATGCGCCCCTCACCCCAGATCCCCTCGGAGGCCCTGTCAGCTGGGGAGAAGCAGGAAGCCTCCTCCATCTTCCACCCTCTTACCCCCATAAGCACCTGGATGCCACACGGGCTGAGATGATAATAACTGAAGTAGGGAAGTAACCTGACATTTATGTTGTTTGGTTAACTTTGCAAGCCTGGGGCCAGTAGTCCGAACAACTATATAGAGGATTACAATATGCAACATAGCAACAATGGTGAATTTCCTACTATCCTATCACTGTTTTGTTTTCTTTCATTTCACTGTCCTGTTTTAGTGTCTTAGGAAAAAAAGTAGTGATCAGAGTGTTACACTGCCCAGACACCTTATGCTCTCTCAGGCTGGCTGTGCCAGACCTTGCCTGCCTTCTTGTTGCTTCCCCATATATCCAAGTTGCTCCATTTGATGCATTTTTCTATCTTTACTTCCAATTTTCTCCAGATAAAGTACAGGAATTTTCATTTCCATAGACAGCTCAAGGCATTGTCCCCATTTGAACCAAAATGTGCCTGAAAATCAAACACACACAGGGGTGACTTGTGACCCCTCCCAGAAGTAACTGATGATGTACCAAATGTCCCATCATTGAAAACTATGGAACAAAAGCCACTGCTGTGTTGGTTTAGTTGAAAACATTTTGTCTGGTTTGTAAAGGCTTGAGATATGACACAAGCTTAAGAAAATAAAACAGAAAAGGAAAAAGAACTATTTTCTGAGTTATCATTATCAGAGAAAACTCTGAGTCAACTGCAGACCTTTTTACAGCAGCAGTGAACTGCACCCAGTGATATCAGGAGCAGATGTGTGTCTGCTTTCTGTGTCAATATGGCTGTAGGAGTGAGCAGACAGCTTCATTCATGCCACTGTGCTAGCAAACAGCGGGGCTACTGAGAAGCCCTTGAGAAAACTGGTAATTTGGGGCCAGTAACACTGATTTTGCTTCCCCCTGCCTTTCTTCCACTTCTTGCCTTCTACTGCATTCCACACCCACCCGAGGCATTCAGGCATATTATTTACTTCCTGAAAAACCTATCTGAAGTTGTTGTTGTGCAGACAACAGAGAAAATAACGTAATTGCCTGTGTCCTTTTGAACAAGAGCTCATTCTAGGTTGCAGCTCTTCCAGGGCTCACAGCCCACTCACCCAGCCCAGCTTATAAAGAAACCTGCTGCTGCCCAGCCTCCCCACCATCCTCCCGCCAGACATGGAGCCACTGTTCTTCCCACTCTCAGCCAGCCTTCTCCTTGCAGCCCTGCCATTACCAGGTAAAGCTGAGAGGTGGCCTGGACCGGGAAGCCAGCATGCTCTGCAGTGCTCACTGTGAAAAGCTCTGAGATCCTTTTTCCTGATTGGGATTTGGCACCATAGCCTCTGAGATAACTTCCTAGATGCTTTGTGTTGCTGGCACTGAGTTCCCAAGGAGGAGCTTCATGCAACAGACTTTGTTTTCTTACTTATTTTAACATTCCTGTTCTCACTATAGCAAACATTTCAATGACTGTATGATGACCAAGGCAAATGCTCTACATGACTCAGACAAGCTACTCAAACTCACTGTTCTTTGCATACAACATCCTCTCTCTCTCTCTCTGTCTCATTCTCCGTGTGTGTCTCACCCTTTTCCTTCTCCCCATACACAAGCACACACAGCTCATGCACAAATGTGCACACACAGGTAACACTGCACCTCTTCCACCTCACTCTTCCCACTGCCAGCCTGTCTTATCCCTTAGAGATGCGTCACCCTGTGGCTCTGCTGGAAGTGGAGCTCAGAACACCCCTGCTGTACATTAACATTCCCACAGGGTTTCCTGGAGCCCACATTCTTGGTGATGCAGACATGGAGGTGCTCAGTAGCCCCCAGGAAGGATCTTCTGGACAAGGAACAAACAGGTCTTTATTACATCACCTAGTAAAACGCTACATGCCACCACGTACTCCCCCTTATCCTGGTAAGTCAAGTGCCAAAGTACAGGGCTTTCTTCTCTCCTTTGGAAATGCTGAATGATGGGAAGTGTGATGGGAAGGGTCCATGTTGATGGGGGTGGAGTGAGCAGTATTTGCTTGAGGAACACATGACATGGGCAGCTCGATCTGCTTAACCCATTCAGGAATCCCATGAGCATCTCTCAGCCTTTGCTTGAGCTGACCTCTGAGGGAAGCATGAGATATGAGAGTAACATTGGCACCCAAGATGAGGGATTGAAGCCACTTCGGTCTTTGATTCTGTCCACACAGAGGAAACAGAGAAAATTTCAGTAAATTATTCTCTTCTTGCCAGGTTGGAGCTCTGTTTCTTTGGCCTTGAGGTCTTTCCCTCCATGGCAATTTTCTAAATACCTGCTAAGTGCCAGGGCCAAGGAGGCTCAGGGAATGCTCCTGGGAGATGGGGCACAGAGAAGACTGTGCTGTCACTTTCTTGCATGAGAAGGGAACAGGCAGTGGCAAAGGACCAGACTCCACTGGACAAGCCCAAGCTCCTGCTGTGTCCCCTTCAGATCTATAGAGCCAGTAGTTTCAGAGACACATGGTTAATCCCAAAATCACTGTATAGAAACAAGAAAACAAGGAAAATAAACTCAGAAGCTCAGTGGGCAAAGAGGATGAGAGGGTGAAAGTCAGCACTACTCTCACTATCTGTAACTCCTGTTTTAGCCTAGCCTTGCCTCCGTCCCACTGGGATTGACCTCCAACTGTGCAGGGCTAACAACGGTTCACCTCCCAAGATAAGGGAAAAATAAAATGCAATTACTTCACTACAAATATAAGCAGGCTGAAGAATAAGCACACACTGTGCAGTCTAACAGCCTTACAAGATGGGATTCTTACTCCGGTTTGGTTAGTGATGGAGCTGAGGAGATTTAGAGGGACCAGATATATATGTCAGAGTTGTTTTTATGGTTCAGAAATTGATGCGATGAGCTATAGAAAGCTATTTTGTATTCACAGCCACCACCACTATACACTTTTCTTCTATTAGTATTCGTCTATAGTTCATAATTGTTACATGTATTGCAGGGAATATGTGGTACATGTACAAGTACATGAGCATCTTATTTCTATTCATCCCCTTTCACTTCCTCTCTCTCTTCTGCCGCATCTCTAGATATCCTCCCTATTTATCAAAGATCTGTCTCCCAATTTCCCATTGTCCAATTTTTATTTTGCTCTTTAAATTGTTTCTACTGCCCCACCACGTCCTTAAGGGCTAAAATGCCTATTGTTTGATTCTCGAGAGAGAGTCCAAGGAAGCTAATACTGGGTATTTCTTTACACAGAACCTGAACCAAATTTCAAAATTGTCAACTGCAGAAGAAGTGAAGGCTATTGTCAAGAATTCTGCAATTTTATGGAAGTACAAGTAGGCTACTGCTCTGCAAAGAAGGATGCCTGCTGTTTACACAGGAAATGTTGTCAACCCTGAAGTCCAAGCTCTGCCTGCTGACCTGCTCTCTTAGATCGCTCCCTCTACACAGGTGCAGGAGATTTGGAGAAGTGGCTGAGCAGGAAGAGGCTGAAGCAATGCCACTTTTGCCAGGAAATCTGAACATTTTGTTGTGGCAAAACAAATATCAAGCATTGCTTATGCAAGAACTTATAGAAAGCAACTTGATTTGAGATCACAACATCTTCTGAATAACAGTTTGTTCTGATAGATGTGGCTGTAATAAACTTTCATTTAAAAAGAAATGAAAGTATGTGTTCTCTTATTTAACAAATATACTTGGTACCTTCTTTTGTAAGCACTGAAAAATGTAAATTGGGAACATGAATAAGATAAGTAGGGAGGGAAATATCTAAGTATACAAAAATAATACAAGGTGATATATGCTATAATCTGAACATATTCTAGCAATTATGTAGCAAGTGAATATCAAAGAATTAAACCATTCCTAGAAAAATCTGGTAAGGACTTTATAGGATGACTAGGAATTTGTTGAAGTGGAAGCATGGGTAAAGATTTCAGAAGGTTCAGTTTATAGACAGTTTTGAGACACAAAAGCTTAGCTGGCAGAGGAAGAGGGAGAAATCCACCATAGCTTCAGAAAAAAGAGAAGTTATTCTGCAGTAGCAGGTGAGGCTGTTTAGGTGTGTGAAGGCAAACAGATTACATAAAATAATTTAGGAAGCCATATAAGAAGAGGTTAATAGGTGCTAAAGATAGTAACATGATAAAATATTCAGTTTTTGAATGTTCATTCGACATTAACATTAGAAATAGACTGGAATTGTATGAGATTAGAGACAGAAGGAATAAGAGTTGGTTGCCATAATCAAAGTTCAAGGACAGCTAAAGGAAGATAACAGATTCAAGGAAGAAAACTCCCCAGGGTTCTAAAAAGAAAGAGTGTACAGGTCTGATGGCAGGGAAGAAGACGTAGCAATGGAACAGAAGATAGTTATGGTAACCCGGGCTGCCCACCAGGACAGGGGCAAGCAGAGAGAGGCAGAGTGCCTGTGGACACGTTTGAGTTGAACATTCAAAGATGTTTGTTCAGGACTTGAGTGAAATTATTATGTAAATCCCACAAGAAAGAGGAATATGAAAAAATCACACAGAAGTCATTTTCTAGAAGATGTGGTCAAATGTATAATTAGAGACAGCTTTCTACTGGAAAAGGAATCTACAATCCAGATGGGCTTTCCGGAGAGCAAAGAGAATGCTAAGGTCCATGGAAGCATAAAAAACAGGAAAACATGGAAGAGGATGGAAAGAGGGAAGAGGGGCTGGAAGTGAAATACCTGAAACAGTACTGTTGTGAAGACATGGAACATGCTTTGTGACTGGAAAGTGATCCAAGAAAGAGTGGCACCTGAGAACACAGGATGTGGTGCTGGCATTAGTGAAGCATGTCTCATCTGTCTCCATCTTTTCTGAGCCACATTTCCTTAAGTATCTGGCCATCTGCCTTCTAGACTGATTTTCACTGTCAATATAGCTTTTGGGTATTTGGTCTTAGAATGTGAGTGTCCCTTAAGGGATGCGAACAGCAATTTATTCATGGTAGCTTCTGGCTCATTTGCAAGGTGAAGAGTTAAAATAATGATGAAGCATGAAAGTAGAGTGAGGGAGTGTGTTTCTGCAGGAGAAATACTAAAAGGAGGAATAAAGTCAAGATGACTAACAGAGAAAATCCACAAACTTTCTTGTAAAAAGATAGCCACTGGTATCCTTAAATCTTATCATTGTTATCTTTCATTCATCAATTGAGCACATATCTAATAAACAACCTTTATATCCCTGCTACTACTCCAGCAAGGAATTCAATAATAAATAAAGCTGTTGCCAGCATGTAGCTTACAGTCTAACCATGTAAACAGACCGTGAGCAAGATATATATGCCGTGTTACAAAGAACCAGGGATATGGAAGAGGAGACTAATGAAAGTGAATGTAAATCTTCAGGCAGCGGATTGAGACATCAGAGGCAGTACTGAGCAAATAGCTATCACGGGAGGAGTTGACAAATATTAGTGAGCTGCCCGCATCTGCAGGGGCCATGGGCATTCCAAAGCGGGTAACTGCTCCTGTAAATTCTCCAAGAAATACATGTGTTTTCTGCATTTCTGGAAGAATAAAAAGAGGTACAGCAAAGAAAATCAACGTGGGAGATGGCTAGGAGGACCCCAAACGGACTTATGGGTCCAGTGGAGGTGACACTGTAGAATAAAGAATTCCCTCCCTTGAGGATTTAGGATGGCACAGCATTCCTGCTGGGTCAGAGCTTCTTTGATTACGGGAAGAACTAAGGCAGCCTCGGACAGCAAGTCCCCACTGGCCTGCTCCTCCTCCCTGTTGCTAATCTGCTGCCTCTTAACAGGCTCCACAGACCTCTAGAGACTGGATTAATAGGGCAGGGAAGATGCATTGGGATGAGATCGTGGGGCTGCACACTCACCCTGGTTCTGAAATGTGATTAATGTGTACCTCAGCTTTTGCAGTAGAGGCTTCATTCTCATGACTCATAGCTCAAAGAGCATTCAGCACCTGGAGGGAAATTCTGCTCACCAGTAAACAGGAAAACAACTTAACAGCAATCTTTTAAACCTATACCTACGAGATCTTCACCTGTAGTGTGTAGTTCAGCATTTTTTATTTCAGTGGCCACACAAATATCATTGTATGCATGTGTCATAGTTTATTTTAGTCCTCCTCTTTTGATATATAGGTTGCTACCATCTTTGATGTAAAAACACTAATGAAGTAAACGTTTTCCTTCAATCACCTTTAAGAAAATGTATGAGATAGTGAGAATTGATATTGTTATAGAATGCACTTCATTAAAATCTTTATAAACATATATATATATATATATATATATATATATATAAAGCTCTCCAAGAAAACAATTTCTATTTTTCTCCAACACTGTTTTAAAATATCTAACTACATGCACCTTTTATAACTCTTAATATAATTAAAACAAATATTTTTTCATTCTGTTGAAAAACATTAACTCATTACTTTACTTTTTTATTTTAAAGAGAATAAAACAAAAGAGGACAGAACAAAGCAAATCAGAACAGAACAATGTAAACAACACAGCAGTTCACAACAAAAAAACCAGATATTAAAGGCCACTACCATAATGTCTCTTACTTTGAAATAGTTGAGCGTACCTTCACATACAATATTATCAAATATAACAAAATAGAATAAAATCATTCAAGAGATTAAAAGTAATACAGGGCATTCAAAACCAAATAACAGAAAATGAACAATGGCTACTATAATATCTCATTTTCCATGTTTATACTATCACATACATTAAAATCTAAAAAGACACAACATGATAGAACCAATGGAAATAGAAGAACAAAAGCATGGTAGGACTTCAAAGCAAAATGATGTTAAATCAGCACTAGCTATTATATTGTCTTGTTTTCTTCAAAATAACTGTTCATACAATCACAGACAATAAAATCAAACAACGCAGGATAAAACCATTCCAATCAATGAACGAAAACATTATAAGGCTTCAAAGCAATATAATGAAGAATCATGATTACCACATACTTTTATGTATTCTTACCATTTATTACACTAGGGACACTATTCGGTATTTATACATGTGAGTTTGATGTATTTCACTTATGAGTATAGTCTCAAGTTGTGTCCATTTATTTATAAATATCTCAATGTGATCATTCTTTATAGTTGAGTAGTATGTAATTGCATAAAAACACCACATTTTTTTTTAATCTCAGTTGATGGACACTTAGGTTGTTTCCAAGATCTGGCTATTACAAATTGTGCTGCTATAAACATGGGTGCACATATATCACTGTGGTATGATGCTTTCAGTTCTTCCGGGAATATGCCTAGAAGTGGAATAGCTGGAACAAATGGGACTTCCAATCTCAGCTTTTTGAGAAATCTCCAGACTGACCACCACAACGGTTGCACCAGTCTACACTCCCACCAACAGTGCAGGAGAGTTCCTTTTTCCCCACAGCCTCTCCAGCATTTGTTGTTGGTAGTTTTCTTGAACCTTTTTGGAGTGAGATGGAATCTCAGTGTAGTTTTAATTTGCATTTCCCTAATGAGTAATGATGATGAACAGTTTTTCATGTATTTATTTGCCATTTATATTTCTTCATCTGAGAACTGTGTATTCATCTCAGATGCCCATTTTTGGAATTTTGGTGGTCTGATATTTTTTAATTCTTTACATGTTACTGACATAAGTCCTTTGTCTGAGGGAGAGTTCACTAAGACTTTTTCCCAATTTGTGGGATTTCTTTACACTATGCTGGAGATTTCTTTTGACATGCAGAAATTTTTTAGTAAGACATGATCCCAGTTATTGATTTGGGGAAGTATTGGCCTTGTGGTTTGATTCTTGTTCATGAATTCTCTGCCTACCCTTATGTCTTCAAGATTTTTACCTAATTTGTCTTCCAACAGATATTGTATTTCTGTTTTAGTATTTAGATCTTTGATCCATTTAGACTTTAGTACATGGTGATAGGCATGGGTTTAGTTTTAGTTTTCAGCATATGGAGAGCCAATTTTTCCAGCACCATTTATTAAAGAGACTATCATTTTTCCAGTGAACATGTTTGGCCCATTTATCACAAATAAGGTGGTTGACTGTGTTTGTAGTTGTAGTTGTGTCTTCTAATCTATTCCATTGATCTTCAGGTCTGTTTTTATTCAAGTACCATGTTGATTTCATTACAGTAGCTTTGTGGTATAATTTCAGGTCAGGGATTCTGATGCCTCCTGTCTTGCTTTTGCTGCTTAGAATTGTCTTTGCTATTCTAGGTCTAGTCTGGTTCCAGATGAATTTTAGGAATGATTTCTCTAGATCTATGAAGTATGCCAGTGGTATTTTGATTGAGACTGCATTGAATCTGTATAACAATTTTGGGAGAATGGCCATTCTCACAAGATTTATTCTTCCTATCCATGAACAAAGGA